CTCCGAGCAACCCACTCCTCTTCCGTTAGCAGGAGTTTCCCGCTGTCCTTCGTTGCTGTCGCCTGCCCCAGGCCTCGTCCACCACCCGCAGACGCCCTGTCACATCCTCTATGGTGAGGGTGGACAAGTCCAGCATCGTCTCTATGGAGAGAGCGATCTGGATGTACTTTGCCGGCACGGAGTGGAGGTACTTGGAGACCGCCTTCTCTTCGTCGATGGTGACGCCATGGCCCTTCAGCTTGCTGATGAGCGTCTACAGGCGGAGGGAGAAGTCCTCCACCGTTTCACCGACCACTCTTCATAGTTGGTGCGAGTCAGTGTCGGCCAACTGGTGCCGCTGACCTCCCGCACCATGCGAACAATGACCTCCGGTCATGGCTGGGTAGCCACAGCAGTACCACTGCTGTCGCCCATCTCCGAACCGCCCGTCATCGCCAGCGGTTAGTCTGGCGACGGTGCTTGTACGGCTTTGATACCACTTGTTGGCCCACAGGATCACCGGCTCAGATGAGTTGCCCACTCACCGGTCTTGCCAAGCACCCGCTAGTGTTGCCGAGCACCCACTAGCCGTGCCGACCACGAACAAGCGTTGTCTGACCACACTCTATGGTGAGAGGTAGAAGAAGAAGGGAGAACAGAGCATACCCGCACATAGCAGAGTCACCAGCGTTGGCCGGAACCCTGTATAGGAGATGACAAATCTGAACTCTCTTTACTGAGTTGCCGTGGTATCCTATTTATACAACTATATCCTTCTAGTCCTAGTACAGTTGTCATGCTGCTACAGGAACTAGATAACATACAGGGCTGACTCTGCGCCGGCTACTGCATGTGCCTACAGTGCTGCAAGTGGCCCGTGCGGCGCCTGCACCTGCAGCGGCTACAGTAACACAGTAGGGTCCTTTCGGCGCCGTATTCCCTTACTGTGTTCACACAAGGTAACAGTGGATTATCTAACATTCACTTGCTTACTTAGATCTCAATAATTTGTAAAACATGATGATTCATCATTGAGATCAATATGAGTTGGATGATGTTCTCAGTTCTCGCTTCTGGCAATGCACTAAGGTCTATCTATTCATTCAGCATTCAACGATTCTCCTAGAATCAGCTGTTTAATGGTGCACATTGTTTTTTAGCAATATAACATAACGTGTTATAAGATCCTGGTTTTCAGTTCATAAATTCTATTTCTTACTGTAATTCCTAAGCTTATATTCATTAATTTGGAACTGTATTGCAAAAAAGTCATGGGGTAGCTGAATACATTTGAGAAACAGAAATGGCCTTTTTAGAACGCATAAGCTGTTCAGTAGTGTCAGTAGATTGAGGTTTTCATGAATAACGTACCTAGTTGGGAACTTGAGATACAAGTAGTATGAATGAATTCTAAGCTTTCTATAAAAGCTGGGTTTACCTGTAAAAAAAAGTAGTATGAATAAATGAATGGTTTAATCATCTGCATTTCCATGCTTAAAAATTAGAGTTGGAGGCTGGAACTAAAAAATAATAGAGTTGGTGTAAAGAAGTTTCTTCTAGGGTATATGTACAGAAATAAATTCAGTGAATTCTGATACATATTCTCCAGTCTTGGTGTCCTGCATTAGTAACCATGCGTGTAGGCAATTTTCTACGCATTTTTGCTATTTTGGTGTTTTTTTGTGGACATGCCATGACGTGTTTCATAAGGAGAAAAAAAGAGTTTGGGATTCGAAACAAAGACTAAGAATAATAAAAACAAAGAACCTAAAGGAAGGTAACAGAAGCAAAAGCCTAGCTAAGTGATGACCGGCTACTCCTAATAAGAGAGAAACTATCCCTAGAGCCTAGAAGCAAGGTGGTTTGTTGGTTATTAGCGATTAACCTGGGCTCGACTAAGCAAGCACAAGGCAAGAGATCCAAAATGCAGTACACAGCGACTACCCACCCTGCAGTTCTTTGCCCAACAATAGTTACTAGTGATACTACTTGATTGATCACACTACCATTTCTGCACTATGCAATGTCAATTACTTGAACTATCTAGCTACAATGCTATATTTACATATGCATCACTCATACCTGATGACGTTTTATGAAAATCTTGTCTGACATTAATTATCTGTGCAGACTTCACTTGCTATATCTCATGCATTCCTTCCACTGACTTCCTGGCCGACCCTCATTTGCTGACACATTTGTTGTTTTCATTTCATAATACAGAGTGGACTGCAACTGTGGCTGGGACTGAAAGACCTGCAGAAACCAATGCATCAACCGCATCTTTCATTCGTCACTTTAACCTTTGTCAGTCGCTTACGGACTTGTTTGTGGCTTCTGTTGTGACGAGAAACCATTTTTTAAAATCTTTTCTTCATGGGTTTTTGTACTCTGGTAATCTCACTCAGACAAAACCAGAAGGTTGACTTGGTTGGCTGGTTGATTGTCACACGAATCTTCTGATTGTCGTCAGTGACTCGTTACTGAAACTGACGCGTGCACCAAACGGAAGCCATGGTATTTGCATATGAGGATTCTTAGCATCTCTAATTCAAACTAGATAGGACTATATAAAATGTTGGTAGCAATTCAGAATCCAAACTTGAACTCCAGCATTCTTTTCTGCCTTAACATCACCTAAGTGATCCTCAACTCTGAATATCTGATGAACTTCTGAATGTGCACCGAACCTCTGAAATCTGAAGTCCGACCGACGAACTCTTGTCTGCACACCTGCCTGGTACTAGGTGGGTGGTTCAGAAGACTACAAGATATGTAACTGAAGGCCAGAATCCAGCGGCATTTGAACATCTGTTCCCAGGGATGCAATGTGTATGAGAAACCAACGAGTTGCAGACTAGCAGTACGTAGAGGTTTGTGATCAGAAGAACAATTCGGTTGTAGCTAAAGAATTGTGAGCGGATATCATATCTTCTCCGCGCCACTGCGGTTCATTGGGAACAACTCAACAAAAGTTTGGATTTCCTTTCCCATGGGTGGCGTATTGTCCAACACGGTTTCATTATCCGAGTCTCAAGTTCAAATTTCATTCCAGCGTGACTCGGTTTACCGATCGAGCCATCCACATTCAACACAAGGTTACTCATGAACAGAGCTTCTGTTTGTAAACCACTAAACCTGCTGCTGGTGCGTCAAGACTTAAGGCCACTACCAGTCGATCAAACCGTGATCCCGTACATGCCAGAATCTCAGAAAACATAATCTTATGACGTCCTAAATCTTGATTTTGGTTTTAAAATGTTGAGCTTATCAGTTTTTATAGGTATTTTATCTTTAAATTAATGAAACTCGTGTGTTTATTATATCTTTATTAACTTCATTGTAAAAAATATACGATTCTCGTTTTTCAAGGAGTCAAATAGTTTTAAGTTTGACTAAATTTATAGGAAAAAACACTTAAAATTTATGATACAGAATAAGCCATTACATTAATCATGGATTATATTTTTATAGAATATCTATTTGAAGTCATACATATTAGCAATGTTTTTCTATAAACTTAGTCAGACTTCAGAAAGTTTGACTCAATCTAAAACCAGTATTGCATTATTTTTGGGATGGAGATAACTCGTACCACATCGTTTAAGATCGACGATAGAGTTTGAAGTGAGATTTAGAATAGGCTAGCGATGCTAATCTTTAAGAGAATATTATTATTAAGTCTTATAATGAATGTTTACTAAAAAAAATCTAAAAAACATAAAAAATATAGTCCGATGGTCCACACTAACGTTCGTTACTTCTCAAGATTTTTAAATTTTCTTACGAGAGAATCATATGCGTATTATTATTTTATTATGAAAAACATATTTCTTACTATTATATTATCGATATGCATATGTCAACCATTTCATTTAATGTATAAATTTGTATAGACAGGGTATGCCTCCTAATAGTGCAATAAAGCTGTAGTATCATTATCGCAGTAGAGTTTGACCATCGAATTTAGAATGGATTGGTGTAGTTGTGTACGTCTAAGACACCAAAATATCAAGCAATAAATGAGAAAAGACATAAGACAAATATTGGCTCGTCATTATAACAACCCCCCCCCCGCGGGGTTTTTAACTTGAAAAGGACACAAATGGCTCTACCCTCCCTCTCTATTTATCCAAGAGATGGAAGGAGCCTTTTTTTTTTATCTTTTCGTCAAAGAGCTAATTTTGTTAGGATATCTTGGTTGTATACGTCACTGCATTGCTACATGCCTACCTTATCCTCTTTTTATACTTTTAGTGCTCTATCCTAGTCTTGACTGTGCTACTGGTGACTCTAAGGAAGTTGGAGGAAATAACACTATCTTGGGTGGGCTTGCTACTTAGAGCATCAATGGTGGTTGATCTCATAAGTCTTTATAATTTTCTCTATAATTTTGATCAAACTTGAGATGTTTTAATTCTCTAAGAAAGTTTGAACGATTTGTAATTTAAAATAAAAGGAGTATGTCTTAAAAAATGTTTACTACTAAAATATATTTTATAAATTAATTTAATGATACTTATTTTGTATTATAAATGCTAGTAGTTTTTTTATATATTTTTAATAAAAGTTCAAATTTGTTTCACTAATAAAAATGAGAGTTGCATTTTTTTACTGACAGATGTAATATGGAATAAGGTGGACTTAACTATATTTATTACAAGCCGAGTCCTCCAATAATCTTCAAGCCGCACTTGAATTCTTGACACTGACAACATAACCCAAGCTAGTGGGTGCTCTAACCTGTCTGCTGCCTTCGTCGTCCCCTTCGTCGGTTCTCCCAAACGCCCAGATAAAGGCAGCAGCAGTTGGCGGAGCAGAGGTGTTCACTGGGCGGCGACGGCTGGGCGAGCGGCGTGACCCATCGCCAGGCTTCGCCGGCGACGAGCATCCACCAGGTACAGGTACGCCCCCTCCTGCCCTCCTCTCCACTCCCGCTGTAGTTAGCCATCATTTCTATTAGCAAATGAGAAATTTCAATTTTTTATTTTCCAAAAAATAGGGGATCCGCCCCTGCACCCATGCCGCAGGTCGAGTCGGCCGCTGCCTCGGAGGGGCCGCCGCCGCCGCCGCAGGACGCATGGGTAGTCGAGTTCCGCAGTCTCCTCCCGCGGTGGGAGTCGCTGCGCGATTCCTCCAAGGTAGATGCCCCTGTTTCCCCTGTGTTCTTAGGTTCATTTTGTTGTACGGCACTTTGCGAGACATAAGTTCTAGTTCTATGTATGAGATGAAGTGGTAGAGACTTGAAACCCATCACAAGCATATGGAAACTAATTTCACGGTCCTAATCGCTGCTCGTTTTGCTGTCCTGGGTCCCGGTTTTGCTTATCAAGTACAGAGATGAAGTTTTGAGATGATCTCGAGCTCTTGGAAGCACAATTAGTTGTCACGATTGATACTTGCAGGCACATAGCACGATTAATGTGTGGAATGTAATGTCGTTTTTCTGGTGCAGGTCATTATCCCGATTTCGATATCTAGGGTGAACCAATTTGATGCTGCAAGGCTAGATGTCGAGATGTCTGCCATGTTGAAAGAGCAGCTACTCAAGGTGTTCTCCTTGGTGAAGGTGCTTTCTTTATTAACTCTGCTGATTTTCCTGTTGTTTGAGGCTTGCACCGAACTTAAGGGCAATGTTAGTTATTGCTTTCACTTTTGATGCTTTTTCTTCATATCAGCCAGGACTCTTGTTCCAATATGAGCCTGAACTTGATGCTTTCCTTGAGTTCCTCATCTGGAGGTTCTCAATTTGGGTTGACAAGCCAACCCCAGGCAATGCACTCATGAACCTGAGGTATAGAGATGAGCGGGCAGCACCCATCACTGGAAAAGAAGGTATTTCTATCAAAGTTTTATGTCAATTGCTGTAATATTTGGTCTGATTTCATGTTGTTTTCCCCTTGTACCTGTCATGCTGGTTATAGCTAATCAGGTGTCTTCCTGAACATTTTCATTTTGCGCTTTTCCTTTACATTATAATACCCTTTGCTTACATGCTTTGGTTGAGGCCCCTAGTATGTTAAAGTTGGCTGATCCTAGCTCTTGTGGCCTTGTGGGGTCTGACTTTGCCGGCAGAGGCTGCATCCAAGGTTCAAAAAAAGGTTATTAAACGCCGTTTAATCGAGTTTAGTCGCTGAACGGTGGCCCAACGTCTCGTTTAGGGGGTAGGCGTTCAATTAGACGCTGGGCGGTCCTAGGCGCTCGTCTACACGCGTTGCAGCGAGTAAACGTCGCGGAATCGGAGAAAAAACGTCGCTGGGCGGTGGAAATCGCGCGCAGAAGCGCGCGCGGGGGGCGGGAAGTCGCGCGCGCAAGGAAAGGAACGGGGGCGGGAAATCGCGCCCTTGCGCGCGGAAAAGAAGAGCGGCGGGCGCGAAATCACCTGGCTAGCGGGCGCGGAAAGGAACAGAGAGAGGCATCGGGGCTTCTGTCGCCGTCCCCCGCATCTCGGCTCTCTCGTGCCTCCTCCCGCAGCCCCGCCTCCTGCTGGCGAGCTGCTGCCTCATCGCCAGTCCCGAGATTCGACGCAGAGGCCGACGGACGCCCAGTCGCCAGTCCCGACACAGAGGCCATAGTTGCCGCGTTCCACTTCTCCACTGCAGGAGCAGCCACGCAGGGGTCTCCACCGCCGGCACAGCCCCTGCTCCTTCTCTCCAGGTGCTCCATCGGTCTCTCCCATCTTCCCTTGCTATGTAGTCTGCAATTTTGATTTGTGCATGTCAATCACTCAATTGATGAATTGGATTGTGGATTTAGGGTTAAGATTGAATGTGTATTAGTACCTGTCTGCTCAGTAGCTCCTTAGTCCTTATGATGGGTTCATCTTTGGTCCTTATTGTGCCTTCTAATCCTGTTCTTGGATTGGGATTAGCATGGCAATGTCCGAAGCTGCAGCTGCTGCTGGTACTGAGGCAGCGGCTCCAGAAGTCAATGAGGTTGACAACCACCTAAAGAGGAAATCATCTGATATAGGCTGGGAGTGGGGGCGTCTCTGTGATCCCAATGACAAGAACAGAGTCAAGTGTCTTTTTTGACAACCACCTAAAGAGCAAGATGTATGTTCATTACTCCAAGTTATTACTGAGTACTATTTAGTATTTAGTTTTTACTACTCATCTTGGTCTCAGCAGCACAAAAATATTAAAATAATTAAAAAACACACAAACGATTAATCACGTTTAATCTACGTTTAATCTTCCTAGGCGCTAGTCAGTAGGCTAGCGCCTGCCTAGCGCCTAGCGTTTTTTTGAACATTGGCTGCATCTACAATTATTCTAATTATCTGTCCTGTTATTTTTAGTGAAAAATGATTTAGCGACTTTTTTTTACAATTTATTCAAGTGAAGTTTTCAAATCACCAAAGATTCAAAGTATTAAAAGCATGCTCCCAAGAAATCTGAGACTTAAAAAAATTCATAACTAGCATAGTTTACTAAAATTTCCTTGTTTGAAAATCCTAAAGTTACTGCCATATTACTGTTTCAGCTAAGAAATTTGTTTGATACGGGGTGGTATATTACTTATCTTGACAATTTAAGCTTTTTCATGATATCCTCACCTCATGGTATATTGCCCTATTGAGTAGAATGGTGTACACATATGACCCAATGGTTGCTTGTAGAAATACCTAGTACGAATAAACAGTAGAGTGAAATGTTGAATTATGGTCATCTTGTTTGGTGGAATCACTTTCAGATATTTTGAATTATGGCCATCCTTGTAATATTTTAATATTTTGAACTTGTTTTGTACCATATCTTTCTTCTTTAGTGATATGCAACTCTCTTGCGTATTTGATAATTAATTTGGTAAACTATAATCTGATTTATCAAACAGTGTGCTGGATTGTACAATAACTGCTTTCCACAGCTAACTTAAAATACTCGCATTGCAGCACAGTGCAACAATCAGAAATTGCTTATGCAATTAAACAAGTGACATGAGCCTAATGCCAGCCACTGCCAGTGCCAGGAGCATATGATGTGCATTATTTTTCTTATTGTTGCATAATTAGAATGTTACTTGTTTATCTCATAATCTGTTAGTTTGTTATGACATGATTAATTCCATATCTCTAGTATTATAAAAAAAGTTGCATATCTTTAGTATTATTTGTTTCCAGATACATTCACTAGTATTCAAATCTTCCACCATCTACAAAAAGGATAGGACTGTCACGATTGTATCCTTTATGTTCAAAGAATGAAATTGACTAACCATCTGCATTCACCTTGTCTAAAGTGTCTTCATTATGCCCTTCTTCTCCTGTTCTAGTGTCTCATCCCCACAAGGTTCACCCTTCTGCTCTGCTTCTGCATAATTTTAACCATTCAGCAGCTCATTTATCATATTTACATGAACATATCAAATTACAGCTTGGTTGGAGCTTGCCTTTTCACATTACATGCTATATACAATCTCCTATTCTTTGTAAAAACAGAAGTTGAAGTCAACTCAGCAAATGAACTGAACCACACCAAGGTTATCTTAGCCAAATTAGCTCATTTGTAACCTTCCTAGGAGTTTATTCCATACCGGTTTGTGTTGTTTGCTACGTAAATTAGTATTATCTGAGCAACATCTAATGAATTCCATTTGCTTTTCAGTTAGACCTCTAGAGACACCGGTGCGTAGTGGAATCCTAAGACAGGATAGTAACGTGAAGAGAGGCACAGGAATACCGAAGTTGACTTGGGTAGAGGCAATAAAAGGAGACTTCAAAAAATAGAATATACTCAAAGACTTAGCATTAGATAGCAGTGCTTGGAAAACAGCTATTCACGCGCCTGAACCTTGATTGCTTCTGCTGGGTTTCAACTTTAGCCTATCCCAACTTATTTGGGACTTAAAGGCTTTGTTGTTGTTGTTGTTAGGCGTTTACACAGTCACAGACAAGCAGCACTTTGGTCTTTCTTTCACAGTTTAGCTGTTTCGATGCTCGATTAAGGATTCGCATCATGACATGTACATGTAATTGCTTTAAGGCCTTGTTTGATGTAACTGTATCCACTTCAATCGGGTTGGATTTGAATGGAACTTAGTTTAATTTTACTTTAATCCACCTCAACATATGTAGATTGAGACGAATACATGCGCATTCAAACAAGACCTAAGCGTGGACAATCTTTGCCATTGATCACTTGTATATTGAATCTCTGTCACGAAACTAACACGGATTCACTACGAACTCGCGGGGATTTCTATACTACTCACGATATACGTTTTGTTCAACTCCGGTGATAAGGTAGAAACGGTCGGTAATTCCTGGTTGGTCGAAAACTCACTGTATTTTCAATTTAACTATTTATTGACGACTGTAATTTGTTGTTAAAAGAAATCAGAACATTAAAGTCTAAATACTGTAATGATAAAAAGGTCATAAAAATACTCTCTCCATCTAAAAAGAAGGGCCTTCCTAGTCTCTGCCCGCGCATGCTCCACAAATTCCGCCCGCACACCTCCTTCCTCGACTTATCTTCTTTCTCCTGCATGACTACGCGTGCGCGACCGCCTCGCTCTTTTCTAAATTCTTAATATACAACCATCAGTGGGAGGAAACCGTCCGGTGACTGAGTGCGGTAAGCGCCCTTTGCAACATCAAATCAGTGGGGGAAACCCCTCCTGTTCCCTTAAAAAAATACGGACCGAAGTTTATCATTTTCACCTTTCACCAAATCCATGCTAGCTTGAGTTTCCTCCACCTTTGTTTCTAAGATTTTTCAATTCCTTCATGATTTCTGGTGTCTCAGTATTACATGAGTTTGCAGCTGCATCTTTCGCCTCAGTGAAGACACCCAATTCCATCATGAGCCTCTCAACCTCCAGCCTAAGCTTTTCATTTTCATCCTTCACCTTGTCATAATCACCCTCCAACGATGCTACCCTTGCATCCATCTTTGCTTTCTGAGCCCCAATGACCTTCAATTCCTCCTCCATATCTTTAATTTTCTTGTTTGCCATTCGTTGGTATGTATCGGCCGCGTTCATCAGCACAAGAACCGCCTTCCTTGTGTCCTCAAATTCCTCCACCTTTTCCTTAATTTGCTTCCTTGCCGCCTCTTGGTACGCATCAGCGGTATTCATTATTAGCAGGCCTGCATTCCTCATGTTCGCCAATTCCTCTACCTTTTCCCTAAGTTGATTCCTTGCTTCTTCTTGGTACTTGTCAGCAGCATTCATGAATAGCAAGCCCGCCTGTACTCTTCTAGTGTCCTCATGTTGCTTCATCAGCTCACGGGACAAATTGGTGTTGATGCTCCAATTCCCGCACCCTGTGCTCTAGTGTTGAGACCTTTCTTGAGGACACATACGCATCCCTCCTCCTCTCACCCAGTTGCTTCTGCAGCTCATTCTTTTGGTGCTCCAACCGCCGCGCCCTACGCTCCGGTTCATCCTTCTCATTGGTCAGTCTAGTGTTTTGGCGCTCCAGCTCCCGCGTCCAGTTGTATTCGGAGTTGTAGTACCACCTACAACAAATGTTTTTAGAGGGAGCATTAGAGGAGAGATATGTAACCACAACTGTTGCGCGGGCGAGGGTTGGACCGATTTGAAATGTTCCTTCGATTCTAAATTATAGGTCATTTTAGTTCAAATTTCTCTAACTTTGATGAAGTTTTTAGAAAAAAAATATTAATATCTACGAGTTCAGCTAAATAGATAATCAAGACAATTTTTATGGAAAATTTAATGAAACCAATTTGATGTCTAGATGTTGTACTTCTTTTTAAAAAGTGACTAGCATGAAAGGTGTTGTTGGACAGTTTAGGCGACCGCCGCCTCCTCGCCTGCTCGGCTCCGGCAACAAAGCTTCCTCCTGCGCTCGGCGCTCCCACTCCGCCTCCTCCCCTATGCCTTCGGATCCGGCTCGCCGCCCTCGCCTCCGCCTCCACCACCTCCCACCGCCCCAATGCCACCCTACCGTTGGCGGCGACCTCCTCCTTCCCCTCCCCTCTCCCCCCTCCGTCCCCACCCCCTCCCGCATGCGGCCATGGCGAACTCCAGCGAGCTCCGTCGAAGTCCAGCCATGGCGCCCCTGCCCTGACCTGGCTCGGTCGCCGCTACCGCCGCCAGCTCCCCTAAACCGCCCGCCGACCATCCCCACCGCCTGGCCTACCTACCTCCCCCCGGCCGGCCATTATATAGCCCGCCGGATTTGGGGAAGAAGGGTGGGGCGCGGCCGTCGGAACCCTAAGCGCTGGATTTGGGGAAGAAGGGCGGCGGTGCGGGTGCGGCGAGGAAGAAGACGAGGGCGCGAAGCGGGCGCGGGCGTGACGAGGAAGAAGACGCGGGCACGAATCGGACGACAGTCGGGGTGTGCGCGCCGGAGCTCGATTGCGTGCGCATTCGGAAGACTTTCTGAAAAAAAGAATACAATTTTAGGTTTTGAATAAATTAATCTTTCTAAGTTTAACCAAGTTTTTTTAAAGACATTATCAATATTTATGTCTCTAATTAAATCTCTATGAAAATATATTCTGTAATCAACCTAATGATACTTATTTGGTATTATAAACATTTTGTAATATTTTATATAGATTTAATTAACCTTAAAATTTGTTAACTCCTTGAAAAATAAGAAAGTATTTTTTTGAACTGGAGGAGTATATTACTTGAGAGAATTATCTATTTGGCACTGAAAAAAATTGCTCTTCCTTCGGAGGCACCGAAAAAATCGAAGTTCTTTATCTAATTGAGTTGAAAATTCGTTACCTAAATAGTACTACCGTCTATTTTCTGTATACATCTGTTAGTCGACTTGTTTGATGAGATGGGCGGAGGGGGCATCTCCCGGGTCCCGGCGGCGCCCTGGAGCGCTCGCGCGAGGCGAGAGGACGCGGTAGGCCGGTCCTGTTCCTGACGCGGATCTGCGGGCGCGGCGGCTGGGGGGCCTCCCTAGCTCCCCTGGTCTGCGTGGTGGTGGCACACTGGCAAGAATCAAGAAGGGGTCAGGCCGCCGCCTGCTCCTATTAATCTGTCCTAGGATTCCCCAGCGCGAGGTACCTCCCTTGTTGCCCACCCTCCCCTTCCCTCTGTT